TGCAAAACTTTACATGCTGCCAGCCAGAAAAGTAACACTGGAGTTTATTTTTAACTGAGTTGCTATAGATAATTATAACCATCCATTGTTTGTGCGTTGCTTAAAATATTGCCCCTGGTATATATTAGTTCATCTTTTAACACTGAATTTCATTTGTTTTCTTCACTCACTTATGACCTTGATATTACAACTCATATAAGTCTATGTTCTCTGCAAATTTCAGTGTCTGCTTGACCCTTTAAAGGAATAAACATATAGTAAATAATGCATTAACCTGCTAACTACTAGAGATAATGAAAACTGAGGACTTTCTCATTTCTGTCTCTTTCCAATTAACCATAGCTTAATCAATGATAAAACTCTACCTCTTGTCTCATGAACAGTCCCAGGTTTTACTATTGAGAACTTTTGAAAACAAAAAATAATAATTATATTTTTATATAATTTTAATATCATATAATGTTAATTATATATTTTAGCTCTCCTTAGCAAAAGAGATGCCTGTTGCACTTTCAGTGTACAAATTAGGCAGAAATTAGTAACTGATTTTTACTATTTTCCTATATCATCCCCTTTTAAAAAAGCAATAATTTTTGACTGCAATTATCCATGATTTTGAGTTGTAGCTAACATAGGATAAGTAGATTTGCTACCCAGCAGCCTTTTTCATTTTCTGTCAACTACTGCATTAAAACTCATAGTTCAGCCAGATGACTCCAAGGCTCCAGCAGAATGCATGAATAACTGTATGTAGGCCTAATGAAGTACAGCTTTTCAATTTATCTGTTTGTTCCAGTATTTTCTTCCTTCTAATGTTCAGAAACTTTGTACATGACTTATTCCATCCTGTGGAGAAAAGTGACAAAATAAAGCCTTTACCTGGGTTTTTTTGCCATGTTGTATTTTAAAATCCAGCCATACCACCGTTCCTTTCTTGACTTTCCTTTGTCCTTTATTTACCCTTTCAAGAATTGTGTATGCCTTTGGTTATATGTTTTTTTCATGGTTTGCATTGGAGTTCTCCTAATTTACATCTTACATTTTAACCTGCCAGAAATTACACTTCTTTCTAGGGAAAAAGAACTGAATAATACAAAAGAAAGATTGTATCCGTCACTGACAGAAGCAAATAGTATATTTATGCTTATAACATATGGATCAGTATATTTATTCATTGATTTATAGTACTTAGGTATTCTTACCAAAAATTCAATAATTTTCTAAACTTACTTTGTACTGGGGATGAAGGGGAATCTGGCTGGGAAGCAACTTTCTTAATATGACTTTTCCAGGAGACAACAGTTGAATTTTTGTTTCAAATTCCACCCACTTTGTTAATTCAGCTCCACTTTGGGATTTTTTAATAGGAAGAAGAGTAAAAGTGTGGTAAATTCATCTTTAGTTGCATTAAGAAAGTAATATTATTCATATAGAATCATTATGCTAATATGAGGTACTTTAAAAGCGTGTGTGCAAATCTAGTCCTTCCACATTTGTCCATAGATCATGTGGACTGACATTTTAAAGCTTTTTTGGAAGACGTCAAAAAACAAAAATGAAAAATGTCTGCCAGTAACATAAAAAGTCATGTGATATTTGCTATTTCAATAGCAAATTGAATTTAAGGGAAGACTGTTTGTAGGGAATAACACCTGTAAGTCAGTAATATTTTCCTTAATTTTTGGATTGACATAATTTCTGTTTCATCTCCTCTTCATCATTCTCTTTATGTCCTCTACACATATGTGTTTTCCACTGGGCTGTTCTCCATCTGTAGGAAGTGCTTGATGTACAGAAAAATAGGGATTAAAGAACATTCTAGTAAAGTGCAGAGGAAAGTGGAAATTCTGCTAATAATCATGTTAATTTTAGAAAATATCAAAATACTTAAAGATTATGCCTTGTAGATCTCAAAAAATGTATAGAACATGAGAGTTTCTTTAGAATCAGGGAAAATTATATATATAACAGATTATACTGAATTGAATTAGTAAATGGCTTAAAATACATATTTTTAGACCAAGGCAAGCATTCTGTAATCATAGAAAAGTGCAAGAAAATGACAATATTTATATATATTATTTGTGCATAAATTAATTGCACTGCCTTTTGCAATTCATAACTTGTTTATGCAAATTACATTGTCAAGCTACATATTAGAATTTTTCTTCTGGAATGATTGTACACATATAGTAAGGTCTTTTTATATAAGGATTATTTAAGGTCTTCTAAAATGTATGTTTATATTTTTATGTATGTAGAAATGTTTACACATATTTATATTGCTTGTGATTTTTTGATTCTTCTTCTTGCAAAGAACTTTAATTGAATTCAAAGCAGAAAATTCACTAAAATGTACACAAGCTGGATCCAGTGCCATAGTATTGCTATTGAAATCAGTCATGTTGGATAAAAGTGTATTAACATGCAAATACAGAACTGAATGTCTCGACATCCAGTTAAGGTTTCCCAGTGTCACTACAAAAACCACCATAGAAATATGTAATATTTAAATTTCAGAAGCGTCGTGTGTATGTCATCCACAATATTTTTCCCTATAAATGTTCTTACAAGCTATTGAGGTCAACCAATTAAAGGTTTTGGTGTACTGGTACTTCTGTTGATTTGTGTTGTTATACAGGATCTGGCTCTGTGGTAATACCTATATACAATGCAATGAGAAAGATTATAAAGGAATTGTCGTAGTAATGGAAATAAAAGAGCTGGTTCAGATTTAGGACTAATTACAATGACTGTAGTTGTTCTACAGCTGGTACTATTATCAGATCAGGAATTTATATACAAACTCTCAGAGATCTCATTTCATGTGCCTGTCCCGATTGCTGCACACTGTTCCATATGACTGCTTTGCATCAGTGGAGCGCGAAGCATCTGGGATACATCTTTAATACAATCAGTGTTTTGGCAGAGTGGCAACAGATAGTTTAGAAGTTCCTCACTCGGGTACTGGTAATGTTGTAGCTACATAAGAAACCCCTTGCTGCTTGGTATTAAGTTGATTATTTTATTTCAGTAAGTTAATTGCTTTTATCCCCTTTTGTCCTTTCCACCTTTCTACTGTGTCGCAGACTGAAAAAATCTGTCATGAGCAAGAGGAAAAAAAATTAAAACTGAAAAGCTCAGATGTGCTCTGAGACAATGGGACTATTCCAGTGCTGTGTACTGTATGGCACATTGTTAAACTGATTCTTAAATGTATTAAAAAACAAACACTAAAACCAATGTACTATTGCCAGTGATCATGCAGAGTGTAATGAAACGATCTGGCTTAGCAATTATTTTTTTTAAAACATTGCATGTATAATCATTTTCAAGCTACCACATTCAGTAGTTGTTAGTCATTGTCCTACATGCTGATCCTTCAACTAACTGCTTTTCTGCATATCTCATGCTTTTTTTTTTTTAAATTTCCTCTTCATTTTGTTTTTTAAGAAGGTAATAAAGAAGTGTGAGTCCTTTCAAAACCTGTCTCATGTTGATTGAAGCTGTCTATTTTCCAATTCAAAATACATTTTTAACACCTCCAAGTTACCCAAAATAAGAGGTTTATATTAAATCTATATATTGATACCCAACTCTTGTGTTTTTTGTAAAGAAGAGATAAAGCTGTCACTAGCTGACTGAATGTGCTTAAGAAATGAGAATTTGAGGGAAGAGCCACTTCAAGCTTAACCCAGACCAGTGAAGCTATGTGAGTAGAAAATAGATGTAATTTAATAAATTGGAAGAGACCATTATTGTTTCTCATATCAAGGTTATTTGTGTTCTGACTTTCAAAATGTAGCAAGTTGCCTCAAAGACCCAGTGCTGCCTCTCAGGAATTTCCCCCTGTCTGTCCAAGGCTGAGACAGATTACAGAAATAAGGTAATTTATCTTTATGTCAAAACAAATGTATATATTTTACATATTACATTTTCCATTTTAAAAGTGGCTAAAGGTCAAAGTCATATAAAAAATCAAATCAATAGATAAAGTACTATTGAATAAAACCTTTTTAATTTACTTTTAATTACAATTTTAGATCCAATTTTACTGTACCTACAAAATATATAAAAAAATTTTATCATTAAGAACATCTAAGAATTTAGAAATCATACTTAGGATTTCTGGGAAACATTTCTTTTTCCCACTGGAATTTATGTTTGTCAGAGTATTTCTTTCTTCTTTCACAGAACAGGGAGCATTATACAATCTATCACATACTGAGAAACAAGAATGTTGATTTAAAACCAGTACTTACAGGTGATAAGACACTTTAACCTCCCTTCTCTGCTTTTTACTCCTGCTCTAGGTGGAGCTACAGATCTGCATGTGAAGTCTTTAGGAAGACATCACTTTTTGTTAACGTTTAACGGATATCTTGTTTTTTCCACTTCTGTTTTTGATGAACCATTGTTTTTTTCTTAATGACTAAAAGGAAAAAAAATTATTTTCACTAGTTTGATGAAATCGGGGGAAAAAATGAAGACATTTTCATAGTTTAAATTCTGGAACACATACAGAATATTGAGGAGTTTATAGAGTAATTTTTGAAGAAAAAATAGAAAAAATAGACAACTATGCTTAGATTTGAAAGGTTATCAAAATGCAGTACTTACTATATATGTGTGTAGTTTAAAAGCACATAACTTTTGAGTCAAATATTTTTAGACTCCCTGATCATTTTAGATCTTTACAACACAGTGTGAAGGATCATTTTTCTTTAATTGCTTATCTAATTTTTGATGTTATCACTTTGCATATTATAAGAAACTTTATTAGATTCTATTTTTCTGTTTTGAGAGGATTTTTTTAATGTGGTGGGGTTCATTGGTTGGTTTTTTTTTTTCCCCTAAGTGGAAAGTCAAGTCTCTGCTTTAAAACTCCTTGCACTGATGGTTTAATTTCCCTCTTTCGTTACTGGAAAACATCAAAGAATCAGAAGGATATTTTTGCCTGAATGTCTGTAGGCAGTGATAGAACATTCCCAAACACTACCTATTGAACCTGAGTTTTCTTTACTCACACAGTCATTAATTTAAATTAAATTTCAAAAATCTTCAGATAATCTAGCTGGAAGTCCTCCAGAAAAAGGTGTGTGTTGCATGTTCCAACGTAATGATGCTGTCTTCACTAAAGTTAAAGAGGACAAAAACCCCTTGCTTTTGGAATGGAATGGATTCCTTCCTGATTTCTTATTTTCTTTTTTCATCTGGTTCTTCCTTCAATGAAATATTGCCTCTGGACTGCAAGAATAGTAAGAAAAAAAGTGAATATTTTAGCAAAAGAAAAATTTTCCAACAACCCCAAAAAGATTACCAGAGGACAAAATTCTAAAGAAGACATATAAATGACATATGAAAGAAAATCTGCATGAATCTCTTGGTGTCACCAACTCTGTGTCTGAGTTCAAAGGGAAGAATTATGAAATTTGCTGATTTTAATTTCTGTTTATGAAATGGTATCATAGAAAGGAATTATCTTTCCCTTGCCTTTTCTTCTCTGTTTCCAAGTGGGAATATATTCAGAAACAGTAGAGAAAATATTAAAATTTGCACCTGAAAAAATGGTGGAATAGTTTGATTACAGCAGAATTGGAAAACGAAAGCTGTTTCCAAAGGTTTGTTTAAAACATACCCTTAGATATCTTCTTTTCCTTTTGGTAAATGTTTTACAGTCTTTTTTTGTCTGCGTGATGCTCTGTAGTACAGAAAAAAGAAGAGCCTACATCCTCGGAAGATAATTTATACTTAACAAACTCCTCTTTCAAATTATGAAACTAATTTTTCCTGAAGCATACCTTCAGATTCAGAAAGCATTTTCTCTATACACTTACAGTCAGAATAGCATCTTATTTTTCAAAGCAGGACATATATAAATATGTATTATTGCAAACAATTTTAAATAATTCTAACCAATTCTAAGAAATATTTCTATACATAGTCTTTAACAATCTTTAAACAGACTTTAACAGAATTGCACTAATAAGGTGCAAAATGCTTTCCTAAAACCAAAAAAAAGTATCGTAAACTGCAACTTAAAGAATTTGTTTCTGTTCACCATGTAATTCAGAAAGTAAGTTGCTTTATAGGAGGAAAATGTTTTATAAATTGTTTTTTATCAGTTGGCATGTTTTTATAATCCACTTACTTAACTGCTCAGTGCAAGTCAATGCAAGGTAAAGAATGCAATAATTATCTTTTATTTGAAGTACTGCAAAAATATGTTTAACACTCACATAAAACTAACAGCTAAGAATTCTATTTCTGGATTTTCTATTGATTTCCTGCATGGTTTTGCATGAGTAATGCTTCTGTTCTGCAGAGTGCAGCCCTGCTCCTTACATACTCCTTACCTGCTTACATTGACTATTTGTGAAATGAAAGCTCTAGTCTCTCTAACTTTTGAAAGCTGTAAAAGATATAAATTCTGTCACTTAGAGTATTTTATTTTATGTAATGTAAAAGTACTCAAAGACAACATGATAACTCTTAAGAAGTATCCATCAAATACTGGATCTGGAAGTCTGAACAAATGGGCATGGATGAGATAGACAATACTAAATGTAGCAATAGTTATATTCAGAATTTCAACATATCTATGTCTTTGTGTTCAAGAATTTTCAGGCACCTGAAATTTCCATATAAAGAAATAGTGCTTTCCTAAATGACTTAATTCCACTGAAAATAATTAGTCAAATAATAATTAAAATTACTACCACACAAACTTTGATTCCATGCAAGGAAAATTTATGTTTTCAGTCAGTCACCAAGCTGATGTGACAAGTCATACAATAAAAGGCAACTTATTTAAAATTGAAAAAAAAAAAAAAAAAAAAAGAAGAGCCATTAGACATTGATATTATTGTATCACTCAGAAAAGAGTCAGGAAATAAACTTGGATAAAAATGATTTATCCTGAGGTATCAGCGATCTAATCTTAGAAAACAGTCAGTTTATTCATTTAAACTGTGGAAGTTTTCTCACAGGCCTCAGAAGAATGTGTGTGGATTTTAGCTGAGTTAATTTGGAGGAAATGAAATCTTTAATCTTTTAAAAGATTATAATGTTTCTTCTTGCTTTGTAGCCACTAATACCAGGAGACAGAGGAGGTAGTTACAACCTAGCTGATAGACATATGGTGTAGCAAAGCTCATTAGTTCTATTGTCATTAGCAGAAAGGTTTATAACATAGGAATTGATCTGTGTAGAGAGAAAAGCTGCAAGAAAATTACTGAATGTTGTGTTGCATTTTGTATGACTTGAAGCTTCTTTCACATATGATTGGGCATCTGGCTGATGGTCTCTAGGAGCCATTGGGCTATCCCAGCAGTTCCAAAATAAATGTCACGTCTTAGTCTGTAAGTTGAATCCATGTCATAGCAGAAGAGAGTATTTGCAGGAGTAGGACACAGTCCAGGTTTCTGTGCAGCTCTTTTCCTTAAGAAGAACTCCTGGTCTTTACTCCAGGCTGGCTGAAAGACCACGAATATCTTCTCTTGCTCTGGTCAGCCCAGGAAGTGCAGAAAAATTAATTCATTTCCATTTAAGGAAAAGGGAAGCGATGGCATTGCGATGCAAAAAACTCCACTATGAAACTTCAGAAAGGCATCATAATTTAACTAAAATTAGCCACAATATACTGAATCTGCTGCTACTACCTTATGCTCAGATTTGCATAGTATACCCCTATCATGTTGCAATGGATAGTGCAGTTTGCCTCAACTATCTTGGAAGAAGGCACCAAATTATAATCATAGCTATCTGCGAGTTGGGCCATATTGTCTAATAATTTTATAACCAAGTTTTTGGGATCAGGATGTGAGTTTGAATATTTGTTGTTATTTAAGGATTGGACAGTTCGGAGGATGTAGTCATTCCGTTTTTCAGGCATAGTAGAGGCATTGCCTATACAACTGAATTTCCTTTGTGGAAAGAACAAATTTTCTATGTCTCACAAACACGCTAAAGTGTTCTGAGAATAAGTGTCCAGTGCATGTTTGGGGACTGGCCTTGATGCTGCATGGTTAGTATGCTAATATTTTAAATTAAGAGTTAAAATTAGCAATGTGACAGCAGTTTCACAGTGTGTCTGTATCTGAATGATGTCAAAAAAGAGCGTACCATAGTTTTGCTAAGTGCAAAAATGTGAGTGCCTGTGCTTGTGTCTCTGTTGGTTGGTTTGGTACTTCCATTGTCTTTTACCTTTACAGAAAAATTAAAGGGATAATATGCACAAGGAAAGTCATCAATACTAAATTGAATGTTATTGACTGAGTGAGCTACCAACTCACAGTCATCAGCAAAAAGAAGCTCGCTGATGAAGAAATCAGCCATATGTGTCTGCTGACTGAACAACTTGCATCAGTATGAAACTGAACAAACATAGCTCTGCCAGTGGCTTCCTTCTGCACAACAGAAAGGAGATGTAAAGGAGTATGGAAACTATTTATGATATTAAAGAGATCTTGCCATTTCCACCTATCTAACCATCATCTTATTACAGAGGCTTAGATAAGTCAGAAAGAAAATTTGCGGGGCATTCATGGGTCTGCAAAAGCTTATAATTCACATTGTCAAAAGCTTTAACTAGGCAGGTGGTCAGCAAGCAAAGACTGTAACTTGCACTGATACTATTTGAAGAGGATCATGTGTGTAGTGTTACTTTCCTAATAAGTCCACATGGAAGTTTTGGGAAGACAGATTACATGAAACAGAACTTGAGTTGCTCAGTTTAGGTATGCTAGGGTTTTCGTAGCATCAGAGAAGAGAAGAGAAATGCCAGAATAATGTTCACAATTTGCATCATGATTTTTTGTAATAGATATTGTTGGTGTCTTTGAATTGCTGTGAAATTGCCTCCTGCTTTCATATAATGTGAGAAGACCACGTGGTGTTCATGCTGCTTTTTCAAATGTAATTTACTGCCGTCTCTTTTCCAGGCCTGTATTGTACAAAGTCACTGAGCGTACTGTTTCGATGTCAAGACTTTGTAAAAAAAAGAACATTTTTGACTGAAAAATTTGAAATGTCATCTTTGCATTTTGAGCACAGGAGACTATAAATTTCAGTCTATGACAAATTTCTGTCATTCTCAGAACTGTGACTAAGGATTTTTTATTCTACACTTCATACTGACAAAGTATTGTATTAAGTTTGTTGAGCTTACATGCTATAACAGGTGAAAAGATGTGTGTGCTGTCACTCTCTTACCTATGCAAGGAGTATATAATACAGGTACAGAAACTGCATTGAGTAGGCTGATATTGACAAATACAGGTTGAGTTTTAAGATCTTTTGTCTAGTGAATGGTATTGATTTCTCTAGATTCAGTGCTACTCCAGAGTGCTTTCAGGAATGATATTGTTTTTATGTTAATTTAAAGTGTGTTTATACCATTTTGTGACTACATTCTGTGTTAATGAACACTTACTTCTGTCATGTCCAATACAGTCTTGGGCCTCTGTTGTATATGTAATTCGTGCCACTATCAAATCTTATTACCTGCAACTGCTGGTTTTCTGTTTGAGTTTTCAGCTGACAATCCAAAATTCATGGCAATGCTTGAAGACAGAGGTATCGTTTCTGAAAATTGACAAGAGCTCAGGATAAGTTAGAGGAATTGGAGGGGAAAATAGACGCAAGCAGTCTACTGGTTTTTAAATTGAGGAAATAGTCTGGAGTTTTTTTATCACAATTACATAACTATCTGAACAAAACCAGAAAGAGGGTTCTTCTTATGAAATCTCCAAATACAAAATAAAATGTAATTTTAATTCAGGCTGAAACAAACAAAATAATCAGAGTATATCTGGCACAACTTAAGTAAAAATATGTATCATACATATATGTTGAATGAAATAATAAACAGTTCAAAACTAAGTGATTAATAATGAATTTTTTAAAGTTTTTTTAAAGCAAGTGTAAAACTGTTGTAAAGCTTTTTTAACATCAGTTTGGCAAATACAAATGCATTTATGGTTTATATCAGAGTTGTCTGATCTGTGTAATTTTTCCCCAAAAGGGTGTGAAGCAATTTGTCCATCTCTATGCACCTTCAAAAGAAGGAAGTTGAAGCAGTCTTTCAATCCTGTTACTGTATTTCTGGTGAGTTACTGATGATGTCCCTCCCAGATGCAGTAGAGTAACACACTATGACAATAATATATAGATAAAATACAGTACAGAAACTTGCACTGTGCAAGTAATGGATAATCTGCCTATGCACATCATATTTAAATTATATCCTAACACCTTTTTGTACAGTATCATTTCTATTGAAACAACAAATTAAAGGCATAGGTTAACTTGGTATTATCTCCAGAGTTCTCAGTCCTCTGTTAACCTACTCATATTTTTTATCATTTCCATTCCCCCCTCCTTGTTCTTTTAAATTCTTTCTGCAAACAGAACATCCTCACTGAGAATCAATCTCCCTTTCTTCTTCCCTCTCTCCTTTTACATTCCTTTTTTTTCTCTCCTTCTCCTCCTTCTTCTTCTCAGTTTTCTTTTCCTTTCTTTCTTTGTCATTTTTAATGGAATTAAGAATTTATGTAAACAAAATTTCAGAGGCAATGACCACTAAGTTTTTTTTTAGAGGAAACCAGAGGAAAAGCACCAGGCAAAGAAATAGCAAAACATTGTTTGGTGAAATTCAGAATATACAGTTGTTATAACAAACTGTTCTTATTACCAGGAGAAATCAGGACCGTGCTTAGGTCTTGCATACCTATCAAGTGGGATTACACTTCTGCAACATACCTGAAATGAGTAACATAATATACAAATGGGACATAAAATGACATTCCTTTTTATGCTTTTCATATTAGTATGTGTTTAAATGACTGATATATGACCACGTAAGTCAGCAGTTCTCAAACTGTGTGCTGTGGTCCATAGGAAACCTCTTTAGCACTTAGTACAGTTGTCCACCTGCCCTCCTCCAATCCTAACCTGAAGATAGAGGAAATACATTACATACTTTTCCAATAATACTTTACCAGTATCTTGCCAGTTTTTATATTTGGTGTGTTGTCCAACTCTTGGTTGAACTGATTTGGTGTATGTTTTTAGTAATGGGAAGAAAGTGAGGGAGGAACATTTTATTAAGAAAAACTTTTTTGAGGCAGTTTGTAAACTTTCTAAGCAGAGTCAACATAGCAACCACAGGAGCTGGACTTCACTCTTTGTCTTTAGACACTTCCACTTTCATAAAAATTGCAGCTCGTGGTTCCGCCAGGTGACACCAGCATGAGCACATGCCTTCTTCTGTGTTTCACGCTACTGCCACTTAGAAAGAATTATTTTGGAGCTCTGTAGGGTTACTTTTTCTCCTTCTCTTTCAATGGGGGCAGTTTTGTCTGTTGTCTTTGCTTTTTTCCTCTGCCCTCTTGTTGGGAGAGTAGAGGCAGTGACAGTACCACAATGAAGTGCTTGGCTGTGCCAGCAGCAATTAGCTGCTCAAATAGTTGCTTCTCTTCCCTAGAAAAAAGCCACTAAAGCAGATGAAAGCATCCTGTGGGTGGACTTGATCCATGGACTACCTGTAGAACTTGCAGAACTCATTAGCATCTCCTCTATTGCTTATAGTCTGCTAGGTGTAAAGGTATATTTAATTTAATTTTAAATGTTAGATTCCTTTAATGAGATGGAGTGTGTTTCATAAGGACATTACTTGCAATATATAAAGCAGTTTTGTCGGGATAAAATGATGTACGTCTTGGACATAAAGTGCTTACTAGAGGGCTTAGTGGCATAAATATTTCTACTGCTAGAGAAAGCTGTATGAAAGTCCACCAGTAAAAATCAAAGCATATGCTAAGTAAGATCTTAAACAACTCTGTATTCAAAAATAATAAAGTTTCATGATTTAATTTACAAACTGCAAAGAAAGCACGGACATCACGTTTATGTAAAGATTCTACTTACCTATGATTTATTTTTTCTGAAGACTGAAAGGCCAAATCCCGAGAACTTCAGTGGAAGTTACATGCAGGATTCTGGAAGAATTATAGTGCGTGATAGTAGTTAACTACCTTCTGAGGTGTTACAAAAGATATTAGAGAGTTAAATGTTCGGCTTATAGCTGCAACTTTTAAACTTGAGCTTGGGAAATTTAAATTCAGTAAACATCCCTGCTACGTTCTTTTCAGAAAACAAGTCTCATGCATTTTTATGTGCTTCTGTATTATTTAATATGTTACACCTTACTTAGACTTAGAGTTCTGAAAGAAAATAAAAAATACAACTGGGATAGCTGTTAGATGTACTCTGCCAAATAATATTTTGCCCAGGTCATGTGTAGGGTGCTATCATTAGTGTTCTGTGCTAGAAATTTTATTGTTGTTTGAATTTTTTTTTTTTGGTTGTTTTGTGCCCTTTGTTATGACCTTGGGCCTCAATCAGCTCATTAAAAATTAAATTGCTAATTATAACCTAGCTTTGTTTTCCACTTTGATCAGAAAGCACAATAGGTTCCTTAAGTGGATTTACCCATAAAATATTCTGGTAATGAGAATAGAAAAGGCAAGTTAAATAACTTTAATATCAAAACAAAAGCTACAGAAATTCCACCCAGAGTCTAATAACAAAAATTTTATCTAATAAAAAGATAAAGCTCCTTGAAATACTAAAATTCCATTTTCTAGCTTATTAAATTAACATCTTTAACAATTTGAAGTAGGTATAATTTCCACTACTTCTTCCGTGGCTAATACTCCTCTTCCATCAGCCTGAACATTACAGCATTATTTAATTTGTACTGCAATAACTTGAATTCAAAGGAGGAGATAAAATTGTTTAAAAATCATAGAGAAAATTTGCTGAATGCTGTTAATTGCCCACGTTTTAACTATTTTTGCAGTTTTACTGTGTTCATGCATTACTTGCTATGCAGGAGTACTTAGAGATTTTAGCTCATAGGCATTTCCTCACACAAAGATTTGGGAATGGGTGGTGGTAGAAACAAAACATAAAAATATATGTAATGTGAAAGCATGAATCCACTTAGTCTAATCTGCTGTTTCTCACAGGATATAGGGGAAAGCATGACAGTAGGAAAAAAATATATTGATACTTGTCCAGCATCTTAAGTGAGCTTTCTGTGACCTTTGGCACCAGTGATCTTTCTCTTTCCTATACAGACAACAATGATCTTAAAACAGAACATTCCCGTGTAAACATGAGTGTTTGATTTTTGTTTTTATTATTCTCTTTTCTTTAGTCTTCTTTTGATTTCTGTTGTTATTCCCTTTTCATTAGTCTCCATTTCCAAAGGTTTCACTCATTCTGAAATGAGATCAAATCCCTGCAACTGAATGAGCAGTTGCAAACTATGGAGGATGAATAGTTCAGCTATGGTTCTGAGAGATGAAAACACAGGAAATGTTTGTAGTAAGAGGTGGGAAATAATTAATAATGGACAGAATTAATTAACAATTACTATAAAAACCACAAACCAGTCTGTCAAATGTAATTTTCACTTACTAGTTCTTAATGAGTAAGGATCCAAAACAAATAATTGAGGATGACTTTGGGAAGGAACATGAAATATATTTGCTCATACTAATAAGCTAGATTCTGAAAATTGAATTAAAATTAAACTTAGTACTACTTTTAAATCAATACAGAAAGATGAAACATTTATTTTAGGATTTCATCATAACGTTATAGCTATCAGGCAAGGGTTGGCAAGCTTAATATTTGACAGGGTTTTCAAGCCTGGACTACCACACCTTGAGAAAATAAAGAGGCTTCAAAGCTGGTCTACCTCAAGAGAGGTCTTGAAATGAGATAGAGACAGTAAAAGGTGACTTGTCAACTCCAGCTAAAATCGCTGAGCATGATCATAGAATCTTAGAATCATAGAATCATAGAATCATAGAATCATAGAATCATAGAATCATAGAATCATAGAATCAACCAGGTTGAAAGGGACCTCTGAGATCATCAAGTCCAACCCTTGATCCACTGCTGCCGTGGTTACTAGATCATGGCACTAAGTGTCACATCCAGTCTCATCTTAAAACCCCCCAGGGACGGAGAATCCACCACTTCCCTGGGCAGCCCATTCCAGTGCCTGATTACTCTCTCTGTAAAGAATTCCTTCCTAATATCCAACCTAAACCTCCCCTGGCAGAGCTAAAGACCATGCCCTCTTGTCCTACTGCCTGGGGGAAGAGACCAACCCCGACCTGGCTACAACCTCCTTCAGGTAGTTGAAGAGAGTGATGAGGTCTCCCCTGAGCCTCCTCTTCTCCGGGCTAAACAACCCCAGCTCCCTCAGCCTCTCCTCATAGGACTTGTGCTTGAGTCCCTTCACCAGCCTCGTTGCTCTTCTCTGGACCTGCTCCAGCACCTCAATATCCTTCCTGAACTGAGGGGCCCAGAACTGGACACAGCACTCCAGGTGTGGCCTCACCAGTGCTGAGTACAGGGGAAGAATCACTTCCCTGGACCTGCTGGCCACACTGTTCCTGATCTAGGCCAGGATGCCATTGGCCTTCTTGGTCAGCTGGGCACACTGCTGGCTCATGTTCAGCTTCCTGTCAATCCAAACTCCCAGGTCCCTTTCTGCCTGGCTGCTCTCCAACCACTCTGTCCCCAGCCTGTAGCGCTGCAGGGGGTTGTTGTGGCCAAAGTGGTCTTGTTGAACCTCATCCCGTTGGAATCAGCCCAACTCTCCAGTCTGTCCAGGTCCCTCTGCAGAGCCCTCCTGCCTTCCAGCTGATCACATGTGGCAAAGGGCTGGGAAGAGATATTTTCATGCTCTTATCACTCACTTGTTTTTCGGTCAAGAAGGGAGTAAGATCTTCCCTTTTTTTTATCACATTTGTGTAGTCATCATTCTTTTTTTTTTTTTTGGTAAGAATATAATAAGCACAGATTGAAGATGTAAATTAAAAGGCTGCATAGGCAATACTTTTCAAGAAGTTGACTACTCTATATTGTTTTCAGATTTTTGGGAAATGTTAAAGGTCAGAATTCGTGTACTGTCATTCAAATCTTTTGAGTTTAGAACTTTACAAGAAAAGTTCAAGAGAGAAGAAAAATATTTTGCACATCTATTTGTCCTTCTTGTAAATCTCCTCATAACTGTCTGGAAAATGATTGAAAAGTTATTATTTTCTTTAAAGTATATTGTATTATAAAGGGTCTTTTCATGATAGATTGTATAATAAAGAGTCTTTTTATAAACAACTTATAACTTCAACAAATTATTTAAGCTGAAAAATAAAGCTGCCTTGTGGATGGAGTGCACTAAAAGTCATCAGCACATTTCAAGAGCTCTGAAACTGTCTCTGGGTATTAATACTTGACTAAGTTATTCAGTTTTGCAATCTGCTATTCATATATATATATTTAAATGAAGACATTTTCCTTGGAAAATCACAGTGGCCTAAATTGATCTCTGATTTCTGTAAATAGCTTGAATATATTTCTTCACATGATGTGTACACTGTATGCAGAATAATTTTTATAATAAATATATTAGAAGCTTTCATGTGTACAAATATGAAGAATGGCAAGATTTTTTATATGTTCATATTATTTATAGTCACAGTCTGTTTTATAAGTTATTTCCTACATGGCAGTGATTATGAATGTGCTAGGATTTTTCAGTGTTTGGCTGAATGTTGTATTAAATAATTACTGTTCAGAACAATATGCTGATGCTGGTCAATGATTTGAAATAAACTTTGATCCATCATTAAAAAACTGCACTTCATATATATTTTATCTAATGTAATGTTTTTGCCTGTGTTCTGTATTCACTGTGAGTAGATGACTCGTAAGGAAAAATTATTCTGTTCTCAAATTCTCCAGCCACTGCCATTCAAAAGTTATTAGATTAAACTAGTTTTAAAATTAGGAAACAATATCAGTAACTTAAGGATAAGAAGAAACAGTAAGCAAAAACCCGTTAAAACCCAGATGGTTCAAAAATAAGATATGTACAGGAATATATAATAAAATTGATAGACATATATGCATACACATTCATATATGTACACATCCAAAGCTATATATATTTACATATACATGTATGCTTGTACACACAAAGGAGAGATATACTTTAAATACATAAACAAATGAATAAAGGACATATATATTTTCAATATTAAATATTGAATTTAGGATAATTCTAAAGAATCTCAAGTATTTTATCTGTGTACCTAAAAGAAACCTTTCCTTCCCTGTCATGGGAAATATCTAGGACCACCTTTATGGTTTGGTCCATACATTCAATATCCTTTAAGTGTGCTACTTTGTTGACTACATTGGCTTTTCTTCTCATTCTTTAGGTTTTGTAAATAAAACTGGAGGATTTTTGATATATTACAAAGAATTAGCAGTGTCTACCAGTATGTGGATTGATTGCTTCTCACACAGAATTTTAGCACTTGGGTTAACTTCCAGTAAATATATAACACTTCATAATGTCTTTATTTCAGCTGACACTAAGGTATATGCTCACATGTAAGCGTATGTTCAGTCCATCATAAGTAAAACAGTGTAACTTATATTTAGTATCTGCAAAGCTTCTTTTGCTCAGGTATTTCAAACTTTCCCGTTATTTTTGGTTATGCAATGGTTAGACCTTTGCATTTAATTTAGCAGGAAAAAAGTACAAATTACAAGTTCAGAAGTATTTAGTTCCTAGTTAGTGCCTAGTGTGATTAAATAGGATTCTGGTCTGGCTTCAGAAAAGTCATATTACCTTCATTACACCATTTGTAAACCAATCAGCCTTGTCACCTCCCTCCCCATCCTTCATCTTACAGAAGACTGAAATTGGTTTATTTCTTTTCACTTAGGAAGAGGAAATAATCTAAAATTCTGTCCTGATAAAACAAAACTGTACTCTTTTGGTATGAGGTTTGTACTTCATTATTTTTGAGATAAGCCTTTGAAAATTCTTTCTACAGGTAGACCACCTTCTCTTGACAGAGATAACATGCACGTCTAGTGTATCAGATTGTTCTGAAAATATGAGTGGTTTGAAGTAACATGAGGGAAGGATTTGGTCTATTGAGTCAAATCAGTTCCTGATTACTTTTCTTCTTGTGGAGACTACCCTGTTGTGTTGAAATATGTCCCTGCAATACCATTCTGATTGTCAACACACTGAAGAACCACTGGTTTGTTAAAGGGCAGATAGCTGAAGGACTGATAACTTTTTGCTCTTTCTCTTCCTCCATCTACCATCCTAATAATTGCCATTAAGCATCAAGACTGTATATGGAAGTGCCTTTATTATAGAAGCAACAATAGTTGCTTTCAGCTATTCTAACATCTGAAACTGGGGTTCACAGTTGTCTGACTTTACCATGATTGTTATCTAGATTGTTGTGCTTTTCTAAGTTGTTTTCTGTGCTCCTTTCTCCCCATTGTGACACTTTTATTCTGAATCTCCAGTGAGGCTGTGTGACTTTCTATTGCTTACAGAAAACATAAACGTAACTATGGCTTTCAGCTTTCCCCATTATTCTCAAAATCATACAACATAATTTAATGTTTAGTGGTATTTTGCCATGTCCTTTATGTGTTATTTTTAAGCTTATCTATAATCACTGCCTACACTTTGTGGTAAAATATATCCAGAAAGATACTACACGTTTAAAAGACAACCGCCATCATTCAGTAGAATCAAAACACCCTTTGGTAGAAAATAATAGATTATATGTGATTTGTACGTGACATTGTACTGGATGGATTAGAATTTCCATGAGAGCCATGTAACATGACACAAAAAAAATGCTGATAAGGTACCAGAAAGCACAATTTTATTTTTTTTTTAATGAGAAAAATTTTACCTTTGTTACTTTTCAAGGTCAAAAACTTTTCAAGTGACCTCTAAGGAAAAAATCTTTAGAAGAGATTTAGGTTCTTGGAAAAACTTTCTCTCATTTTAGGAAGTAAATGTCATTTGGAGTCAAAAGCAGAACATGGGTTCTTTTTCAGTGCAATTACTTAATCAGTGCTTCTGAAGATTAGCCTGAAATACCACATAACTGAACGAAGCTCATTTTTCCTTACAAAAACAGAGCTCCATTCATTTAAACGTTAAAATAAAGTGTATCACTTTAGCTACAATGCTGTACTCTGCAGTATCTAGTTTCAATCAGTAAGAATCTTAATATAATAAAAAAATATATTGTAAATTAGACCTGAAAATGCGTCATTGTCAAAGAACATACTTACAAGTTCATGTTTCTAGTCACATTATTTAATCTTTTGTAATATTTTTGGTATGTCTCTCATTTACTCAGAAATTAAGGTGTTTGTTGTCCCTGGTGCTATTTCGCCTAATGGTTCAGATGATTTCCAATTCAATTTAAGTGAAGAAAAAGACTTTTCAAAGCGTAACGTTGGTTTTGCAGCTTTTTTTTTCTATTTTCTTTTACTACAAAAAGATCTTGGAGTTGAAAGCTGATATTTGTAAAATAGTAAACCTCACTGAGCTTTTTATGTTTTTGTAAGGTACCAAAAGTTATATTCTGTGTAATAAAATCAGGCAATTATTTTGTAAATGCATGTTTAACTATGCATGTTCACAGTGTGATGTAAATACCTGCCAAGAGACCTCTGCCTTTCAATTTTTTATGGTCTTAAAGAGTAGTGATAACAAAATTTTGTTGAGTGATCTGCATTTGTTCCTAGTCAGAAACACATGTGTTTCAGAGTCACAGAGGAAGAATCAATAGAAGATTTGAAATTTTACGTACCATGGCAGAGGAATCTTGAGGCACCTTATTGTTTTATATCTCAACAAGTTTCCCAAAAGTTTGCAGGATAATGCAGAAAAATCTTGTTTGAAAAATCCAGGACTATTCTTTT